CAGCAGATCCTGGCAGCCCTGCACAGGCTCTGGTTTTGCTCACCAAATTCCACCAAGCTAAAGGATGGTTTGCTCAAAGCATAGATCAGAACAGAGTCCAAAAGAACAGCTGCTTCCTCTGCCCCGAGTAATAAAATGTTAACATTTCATGCTAAGACGGTTGTGTGTGAGGGATACATGGTGTATTAGGAAGTAAAGGGAGGTGGTTAAGCTGCACCCCACTGAGAACCACCAGAAGTTCCAGATTCCCCTCTCCACCTCCAGTCATTATGATATCCTCACACCACAGACTAATTCTCTATTGTTGTCCAGCCCAAAGTCCCTCCTTCCCCACAGTGAGTAAGAAAAAACTTTGGCCATATCTTGCTAGCTTCTTTCACTTGCTTTGGGAAGAGACAGGGTCCAAATCTATTTAATCCCTTAAACAGATTGGCACTGTGGTTTTCCACACGTTTTCCTCTGGTGTGTTACATTACATATCTTACCTACCTATATCTGCAGTTTAGGATTTTGTTCCTCTCCATTGCACCACTCATGCTCAAATGTGTTCAAAGAGAACACCTTTTGGGTATTCCAGAGATGTCAGTCTGAAGGGCTGACTACCTCTAGAGCATCTATTTCACTGTTTCCAAAGGGAACACCACAAAAATTTTAGTTGCTAATTTTTCTATTTATTTGCATGACCACATAAAACAAAGGAAGAAAAAGCACATATGCGTTTTTTCTAAGAAGCTCATGACAGGTGCTCAATTGAGGCAGGTAGAAATGTCTGAAAATAAAGGTGCTTGGCAGCAATAAGATCAGAGACAAAATTCAAGTTGGACTTGGCTTTCAATTCCTATAATTAATATGCTTCAAAGGCATCTGAGATTTCCATGAGGGTATACAAACCTGAACAAGATCAATAAATCTATTTCTATATTGACTATCCAATTCTCTTACTCATTTAAATGAAGTCATTAGGATTTATACTCAAAACTGAGCCTTAAGTCAGATGTGTGTTAGTTTTCCCAATATTTGCTTTTTAAGGCATAGTACTTGGAGGGAAGAACAAGTTTTTAATCCTTATCTCTGTGCCAGATTTAATAAATACATCTGCAACAGACTGCTAACACAAGCACTTAAAATACTTGGGTAGAATTTATGCCCACTTAAATATACTCTGCCATTTATCCAATAAAATATGATTATAAAAACAACAAATTCACCTGATTTATTAAATATTTACATGTCATTTTAGGACCAAAACCAAATATAATTAATAACTATAAAAACAAGGGCTAGGAAACCACCACTGTTTTGTCATACTTTCACTTGTTGACAGTAGTTTTGGTTAATTGAAACATGTGTCCTGAGAAGAGTAGGGGGGATTGTTTTTGGGTTTGAGATTTTAATTTGTTTGTTTGTTTGGGGGTTTTTTTGAGATCACAGACAGTGATGGGAGAAAAAAGTCAACAATAACCAACAAGAGATTTCATCAAGAATTCAAACCAACCAAAACTGAAACCTGTTTTGATTGGAAATGAAGAAAAGGAAGTGGGTGCTCAGATCCAGATCTAAATTAAGTTTAGCTGGTGGTTTGGGGTTTGGTTTCATGACCAAATCAGGGCTGGGGTTCTCGTACAGACCTGGTGATGATGAAACCTTCTAAACTTGAATCATGTAGCGTGAAATCTCGTAACCTGCTGTCTTGAGACTTTGGTCCCCAAAACTGGAAATCTTTTCATAGTTAGGGCTGGTTGGGTGACACTACAGTTTTGGATGTGTATTTTGGAATGGATTCTTCAAACTTCTCTTCCTCAGTCACTGTTTTCCACGATCTTAGAATCATCAAGGTTGGAAGAGACCTTTAAGATCAAGTTCTACCATTAACCCAGCACTACCAGTGTAATGTGATGCACAGGAAGAACTTAGTACAAAAATCTGACATTTGCAACTGATATTCAAAGTGTTTTAATTGAACTTTAACCAGTTTGGCCCACATGCAAAAGAATCACCTTTGGCTTTCACTAAGATCCAGCAGAATTCAAGATTCTGAGAAACACAAGGAAAGCAAGTGGCAGAGCACAGACCCTGAATTTTAGGAAAGCAGATGCTGCCTGTTGTAGGGAACTGGTGGGTGGCATCCTGTGGGTTCTGAAAGACTGATGTTGTCTCAAGGATCATGTTCTTCTCAGCATGGGAAAGCCCCACCCCTGTGCTCTGCATATCAGCAGAGCAGCTTGGCTAAACTGGGAAATCCTGACAGAGCTCCAGTGCAAAAAGCCATACACAGATGACAGAAGCAAGGATAGGCTACAAAGGACGAACACAGAAACATTTCTCAGGCACAAAAGGATGCTTTTAGTAAAGGCAAAGAGTTCAAACTGGCATGTTAAAAACTACAAGAACTACTAGAATCACTTCAATAGCAGAAGGAAGAAAAGGAAGAGGTTCAGCCATCAGAAGGGATGGGTGAATTTTACAACACCACACCGAGGTAAGGCTGAGGCTCACAATGTTTTCTGTGCCTCAGGTTTCACCAGAAAGGTCTACTCAGCCTTTTCACTCCCAAATACAGCTCAAAAGCAGAAGTTCTAAGCAGTCAAAGCAAAGTCAGGGATCTCTTAAGAAATGAGGTACCCATGCTACCAGAAGGGATGGAGGCAAGAGTGCAGAGACCACAGGTGACATGGCAGGGACACTTTCTTATCATTGATGGAAAGTTATGGAGACAAAGGGAGGTCCTCAGTGACCAAAGAAAGGCAAATATTTGACCTATCTTCAGAAAGAGCAACTAATGGAGATGACCTCAAATCCTGGATGCAGTAAGCCCTTTACTGGAACGCTTTAGGGGACTCTCCAGGGCAACTCTGCTTCCCAGTTCCTTATTGTCCATGCTACAGAAGTCTCTTGACTCCACTGATCCATAACAGTGGCAACATCAATTCAAAATGGGGACAAAATGTACCACGAAGACCAGGAGGGCAAGTGAAGACAGTCTGTTCCCTGATCAGATGATCCAAGTCTGTCCTGCTCCCACTGGCTGTTAATGCAGTGTTCAGAGGCCACAGCATCCATGTAGTCCCACAATCTATGGTACAGAATTATTTCTATAAATGGAAGCAGTTATGCTGGTAATTGTTGTTTTTGGGTCAAACTAAGATGTGAAAACATGTGCTTAAAGCAAAACTCACCCCTTTACTAAAAAATAAACACTGCCTTTGCAGTAGATCTTTTTTCTCCCCTGTATATGTACATGCATAAATACATTTATGTATGCATGTATTTCTCATACATATATATACACACACACACTCCCCTCTCCATAAAAGGTCTTGGTAAATACAAACTGGATTTGACTCGGAAGGGAAAGAGGCAGTTTAATTTTTATAGGCTACGCACACATAGCAGACAATATGAAGGACAAAAAAAAAAATCCCAAACTAAGACCATGTAAGGTATGTATCAACCAGTTCTGAAAAAGGTTCCCACTGGAATGATTCCAGACTAAAACAATGAGTCATCCCCTAAGGAATCCTGTCCTCACATGAAATATATAAATCATTGTCCATTTTGGAAGAATTACGCCAATAGCACATATCATTAAAATGTTATTTCTTTTAATAGTGCTAAGACAAAATCCAGCATTTTGTTCCATAGATCCTGATTTGCAGCGTTACCAGAAGTCTCACCATGGTCCCCCAGGGACAGAGTCACAAGGACATTCAGTTCTTGCACAGTCAATGTATGTTCCCATATGCCTCAGCAAATTTGGGCAAATGCAAACAGGGTCCCAGATTTCAGAAGTCCCCTCCCTTTTTTTCTTTTTTTTTTTTTTTTTAATTCCATGAGACAGAAGAGCTCCGTGAAGTGGTTGTGGTAGAATAGAGGAGAACAGAATATCATAATGCCATGCCCAAAGATCTCAGTGCTTGATGTACAACATGAGCAGCTTAGTGACTTCTCAAATTAAGATACTGTGCATGTTTTATAGTCCTGGCATAGAAATTACTGAATTTCTGCTAATTGCTGAAGAGGACAAAGGGGATGTGCTACCTAAGGAAAAAAATAAGGCTGAAAATACTAATGGAAAGCATAAGATTAATGGCATAAAAGTTGGGGTAGGTAGAACAATTTCATTATATGACATTCCAAAGGAACAGGGTTTATTTTCTATCAAGTGTTTCCTATTAGAAATGTGGAATGACAAACACAGTTTTCAATGCATGATTTTAAAGAAAAGCCTATCATATGATGCTGAAATGTCACACAGATAAATGATTATTCCTGCACATAATTTGTCCTCCATAACCCCCAAATGCTTCACTCCAAGTGTCACTGAACTACATATTGTATAAATATATGCCCCCACTAAAACTGTCTCATAACTCCAGCTGGAACAACTGGTCCCTGACTTCCACAGCAAGAGAAATCAAGAAGGGATTCTCTATATTAAAGAGAAAACTCACTCGTCTGCATAGGTAATGAAGACATCTTTAGCATTTATTTTCTCTGGGGCTTTTTTCTTGGAATCGTTTCCATCATGGTCTCAGCTAAGAGCTCACAATGCAGCTTCACAAAGCAGCACCATTTCATTTTGCACCCTGCAGGGACAGTCACCATTTGTCACAGTCAGAGCCTCGGTTTTACCACTCCTCAAGCATCTGGGGCACTAAAGAAGAAACCTGGTGAACCCTGAAAACACTGCTTGGTCACTGCTGCTTCATTGTGGCCCACTCCAGAGCAGTTACCTCACTGGAAATGTCTGGTTTAGTGCTGAGGTCAGCATTTGAAGGGGGTTCTACCACAGTTCATATGGAGTTGAAGAAACAGTCTTTCTCTTTGGTTAAGTCTGTAACATTAAGCACACGTGGTACAAAGTCTCAGTGTCACAGAGGAATTCGTTCTTTTTTATTAATTAATATGCATGAAAAATTGAAATAACCATGAAAATGTTTATATGTTTGTTTTTTTTAAGTTACCTAAATGAACATTATAAACATGGAATGATGGAACAGATAAATAATTTTTTCCCAGGCCTATGAATTTTGGTTTATTGTCCCAAACCAAGCTATAATTCTATGGTATGCTCAGGAAAATAAAATGAATCGTGGGACTCTGAAGAGGAAGAAGCTTAGTAATGAGCTTTGCAGTCAAATCAACCAGTCCTCATAGCCCAAAAATAGTTCCATCTTTACAATCTATTTTTTTTGTGATTCAACTTCCACAGATTGCTACTACTGCTTCCCTTAGGAGAACATACCATGACAGCTTTCACCACCACAAGGGTTTTCCTGACAGTCAGCGTGCATATGCCTTTTTCTCAGTTTTACCCCATTAGTTCTAATTAAAACTCCTCTGTATCAGGTGAAATCCCTTCAGTCTGGAGCCTTTGCATTCAGTTATTACTCGTGGGCTGCCACTACTACTCGCTGTGCATCACTTCACACTCACATAAAAGCTGACAACATCTAAACACAGCAAAGCTCAAAGACCAGGAAAAGATCAGGATTGCTCCAGCTTTCATCAAGGAACCACATTTTAGACTCCTGTTAAAGTTTGAATGCAAGCTGTACTGGTAGCACAGTATTTTGTAAAGCAACTAATTTGAATTTCCAGTGCTAGGGACAACAAATATTTGTTTTCTTGCATAATTTTAATATAAATTTGTTGATCAAGTATTTATAGTAAACTTAATAACAGTTTTGGAAAAGTATCTAGACTCACGATACGCAGAAAAAGAAAAAGACAGAGCACAGTGACTTTTATCTTAACCGTGATATATCCTTACACATCCAGGCTTTGAGGCCAGCCGGGACTAGCAATTTTTGAAATATTTTAATATTTTTAGGCACTGTATTATAACTGACAAAGTTTGAAAGATAATGACCCTCAGGTCATTGTTCTGCTCTATTTCTATTAAAAGGAAATGCACTAAGAGCAAAGCTATGAGTTTAAAACACAGTATAATAGATACTGTAGAAAATGAATAATCAGATTTTGTTGCTGGACAAAAAAAATTTTAAAAATCAAACACTCAATGAACAGTTTGACTAAGTCATCACAGCAGTTCCCTCAGACAAGATTCTAAGGACATCATCTACGACCATTGAAATCAAGGAAAAGATTCCCACAAAAATGCCTACAGGCTGTGGATGAGGCCTTTAAAAATCTCCGTGTCTCTGGGTTTGCATCCATAAAGAGGAGGCAACATTTTATCACCCAAGTGTTGCAAGGACAGCTCTGTTAATCTGTGCTTGGTTAATGAAGTGATGGGAACCACACGTGTATCTACACATGGAAATTCCTCAAGACACGAAATGGAAAGATACCCATAGCCATAAGCTAGAAAGGATTTATCATTAAACACTTCTATTAATGTGCAAAGCTGGACACAGTTTGTCATGATGTTGGGAATACACGACTCTTGTGGCTACCAAGGGCTCCTATTTATGTTCCACTTTGCAACAAATAATAGTTTGCACAAACAATATTCAACTTTCCTTCTCTTCTTTAAATTATTCTATTTTTGAGCCTTCCTCCTCCCATTTCCCCAGCAAGAAGCTGGCAAGGGATGTGGAGCATCTGGGTTGGAAATGACAGCTGGTGGGTGAGACAGCATCAATTTTCTGGCTTTTACTTTGGTCTTCTGGGAATGAACCAAAATAAGATTTCTTCACAATAATCACCCCATCTTTTGCCTTGAATAAACTTCAGAAGGGATCATGAGCCAAGTCCTCTTTGGGCAAATCAGGAAGAGTTTTCATAGCCCATATACAAGAGTTGGTTGGAAAGCAGGATCTGTGCCCTGAAATGGGAAATTTCAGTGTTCCAAAACATGTTTTGTGCTCCGACCTGGAAAAAATAAAACTTTTGTTCAGTATGAAGGTGTCCTCAAAAAAGTTGTCTTTAAAACATTAAATTCTAAATACAATGTTACTTAGAGTGGGATCTAGACATAGAATAGTAAATGCAGCATGAGTATTACATTTAATCAGTACTATTTAGAATTAAATATTACAACAAAAAAGTTTTAAAAAAAAGAAAAAACAGTGAAATTCCATGGTAAAAAAAACAAACAAACAAACAAACAAAAAAAAAACCAACAAAAAACCAAAAAACCCCCACCTTTTAAACAAGCCCAGGAAGTGGACTGTGTGAATGCATGTTGTGCTGTTTGCAATGACAGGGACACCTGTGGCACTTTTTGGTTTTTTTTTTTTTTTTGATTCTTACATGACATTTAATGAATATTTGGGCATGTATTAATCTAGGACTTTTTACAGGAAACCCCTATGCTCTGCACTGTTTGAGCAGTGGCCCTCCAGCTCTAAACTGTAAAACCTGTAGCCCCAAATACTGGATGGAGCAGTTGGTTTTCCTTTCAGTAAAAGCTATCTTACCAGGTTATTGATGCTGAAGCTAAAAGGCAGCAAATATCTCTTATTATTTGGATGGGAAGCACATCCCACGCCTGTGCTTAAGCCCCACACCTTAGTGCTTTGTTGGGAGAAGGAGGCAGACAATGAGCTCTCTGTGAGCCAGGCCTGCGTAATGCCAGCATGGTCAAACTCCTTGTGCAAGCACAGGAATATCAAAGGCGGGCAGGGAGCAACTGGAACCTGGGAGACAGGCTCCTTTTCACAGACATTTGACTAATCTGATGATGTATCCGCAGCACTATGTGCACTGGAGCAAGGAACCTGCCTCTACAAGCAGCAACCTTTTGTCTGTCAACAGGGTTTACCCAAAGGGAAGCAGCCCCAGCCCCATTGGTTTGTGCAGCAGGGCTCCCAGCAGCCTCAATGATGTTATGAATACCTTGGTTATGAGGCTGCAACCCAAGAGAATAATGCTGGTGTAGGTGCACGAGACCAACTTCATCTGCACATAGGCCCTGATTGCCTCAAATGGGGCTGGCAGGGGGAAAAGAGAGGAGAAAATCAGACCAAGGTGTCCTCAATGCAGGGCAGCAGCACTACCAGTGTGTTCATGATATCCAGTAGACAAGACAGCCACAGAAAACAGGATGAAAGCTGCAGCAAGCAAATAACTGGGGCGCTCATCAAAAAGAATCTCTGTCTGAGAATGGCTGGGAGTAAACACCAAAGTGTGAAGTGCTGCTTTGGGCTCGTGGATTCATGTTTGCAGGTTGGGATGTAAACAGGCAGCTGGGCAGGCCAGATCCCAGTCTCTCAGCAGTTACTGGGAGATTCAGAGGGAACTCAATGAAATCTGCATTAAATCCTCAGCGGGCAGAAACATTTCTCTTCCTGGCTGCACAAACACACTCAGTTGGTTTTTCTGTTGGTCCCTGTGAGGAATGAAGGGATGCATTTGTAGGTGCTCCAGAGGGATGAGCTGCCACTTGGTGCCGCTTCTCCCCTCCCTCTCTCCCTCCATGGCTGACTCCTGTCACTGAATGCTACAACCTGATCACTTTTCCCCCCTTTTCTATGACCCTGTTCATTATTTATGCAATACACAAACGGTCCTGATTTATCAGGGTATTGTCCATCATTCCATCACACAATTACTGTTTAGATTCTCCATATCTCAAACTGCTTCTCCAAAGGAATTGCTTTGGAGCCAGGGATTATTTACTGGCAACCATGAGTATGTCAAACCCTCCAGATGTTTATTAATACTACTGCTTTCCAGGGATGTCAGCCAATAGCTCTGTTTGTGGCTCGCCCTTCACCAGGACATCGGATAACTGCAGCTTATAGTCCTGGATTTAGCATTGGTCACCCTTTGATCCAGAATTCACTCTGCTTTCTGCTAGGCCATAAAATGGTTCAGCATCAGTCAGTGAAACTGGTCTCACCACTTTGTTGGTATTGAAACACTTTATCAGTCAAAGGGACATTACAATGGCTAAATTGACTGATTCTGAATTTGGCCTTGTAAATGGCTGACAAATTTGTGGCAGGGTGTATTGTTGGCAGATAACACAAGGAATATTTTAAATGGCACAAGCTTTATCTGTCATTCAATGCTCAAGATAACCTCTGTGTTGGGAAAGGTGAACTTTCCAGCAGGTAGACAGTGTTCTTTGGAAATTTTATTCTGCTTCTCCCAGCACATTTTTTCTCCTTCCTCAGTGAATAGTTTTCTATGCTTCTTGGACCTCACCTTTTTAACCAGAATTATTTCCAGAAACATACCCTTCAAATAGCTAGAATAAATCAGCCAGGGGCCCCTGGGCTTCCAGATAAAACTCCATGCACACAAGTCCTGTTAAAATCAAATTTGTCCCAAAATCCAAAGAACAGAACCGAGTCTCTTCTTCTTCCAAGCAACATCCCAAAGAGAGAAAGAGCTGAAGGAGGCAGGATGGAACTGGGAAAAGCAATTATTCAGCAGCAGATGCAGCAGGGGCCGCCTGCTGCAGAGGATGTGTGCCAGGTACTGGGTGGAGATAAAGCAAGGGATGAATGGAGAGTCTCCTGGGAATTTCTACCAGCTGCCTGAGCCTCAGAACTGAGCTAACCTGTGCCACGGGTGGGGCAGGGCATCAGGAAACCATCATCGCCTCCCAGCTGTTCCTTCCTTCCTCCACCCATGCTCACTGCTGCAGAAGCCAAGCACGGAGGAGGGTTTTGGCAGGACAGCAGCAACATGCCAGTGGCAGAACATGTGTTTAGCTCATAGAATTTTTCTGTGGATGCAAGGATCAACACGCCCGTGCTCTGTGTCTAAACCCTCATAAAGGAGAACGGCTTACATAAAACAGGCTAGCAGAGGTGAGGGGCAAACAAGTGGTGCACTTGCAATATTTTTATGGATGAAAGTCAGTTCTTTTTTGTTTCTGCTGTGGGGAAATTCCGGCTGCAATAATAACAACTTTCATTTTTATGGATCCCTCATGCTTAACAAATTGACAGACTCTTTATCTAAGCACCCCTTCTCCCACCACGGAAGTGGAGCAGTCTCCTGGCTAAAACATGGTATCCATTTTGGGGCACACCCCTAAACTTCTGGGCACTTTGGTACAGAGAATGGATGGATTAACAAAGGTGTCTGAAGCACAGCAAAGTACCAGCTCAGGCTCTTACAGACATCCAAAGCCAAGCAGAATTCCTATTGATTTCCAGTAGAGTTCAGAGAAGATTAGAATTCCTGCTGAATTCCAAGTAGCTAACTGCCTTGGAACTTTAGCCTGAGAAAAATTCCCTGGAGACAGGCAGTGATCATCACTATGCTAGAACATGACTTGGCACACCACTATCTGCAATCAGCATCTTGAAAACTGTGCCAGAAAATCTATTTTTCCCCCCAAGAGACTGAATTATTTCAATTCAACAAATGGATACAATTTATTCTACCCAAGTAGCCCCAAAGTTATACTGAATCATGAAAAAGGATTAAAAGGACACAGAATCACTTTATCAGTATTCTTGTAAAAACTTCCTGTTCTCAGAAACCTCCACAACAACATTCTTTGATGCATCACTTTTAAGCTTTTAGACTTTTTAAATACTACCCAAAATTGTATGGCTGTAAAATTAATAGTTGGAACCCTCAACTTGCAAAACATGTTCACCTTTGCAATATTCTGAGAAAGTTTGCACTCAAGTTTAAATATCAGAAGTTGAATCTGAGCTGAAAACTGTCTGTGTTAGAGACCATGACTCATGTGGGACTGAAGTTCAGATCTGTATTCAAACCAATAAAATGTGATTACTGGCAAAATGCTTTATCTATGGACCACCAGCCACTAAAATTTCTCCCTTCTCTTGCCCAAAACAGTCCAAGTCTGTAACTTCCTGGCTTGATTTCAACACTATTTTACCTATAAACCTCTGAAAATGGTTGCTGATTTGGAATATAAGGTTAAAAAACTGTCAGAGATGCAAACAGTATTAAATCTATGCTTCATGGACCTTACTGAAATAAGTTCTTTTAAGCTCTGCTAGTGCTCCCGACCTTGAAAGGCCCAAAAACTCAAGCCTCAAAATCCCTCAGTGAATACATGTTTAACATGTTCTTATTCTCCTTCTGTGTTTTACCTCTTTAGATATAAAGCTTTCCCCTAAAACTGAAATGCTTTGGTTAAAAAAGAGCTTGCTAGGTTAAGGAAATTGAGGTATAAGAACTACAGAATTCACAATAAAAGTGTAGAAGGGTGTTTTTTTTTTTTTTTTGCTTTTACTTTTACCTTTTTTTTCTTTTTTTTTTTTTTTATGAGACATAATAAAACTGCTAGTTACAAAGAAACTGGAATACATTTTTCCTAATACACATCTTGCTGGGAAGAATCACAAAGTAGAAAGCAGAATAGCACAACATTCCAGCAGGAATTCTCTACAGACTCTCTCACAGGCTGGCCCAAGCAGTTCTCATTGCCAAAGTGATGTCAAGCATGGGTAAGAAAACCAAAAAGCTCTAATCTGTCCAAGTTTGAACATGAAACACTGAAACAGCTCTATAATATTCACCATAAGACACTTTCCCCAAGGAAAAGCAGAGATGAACTCTTCAGTTTCCAAAAGAGAAAGAGGGAAAAAATCACACCCTTCAAGTCTGTAATGGAAAGAGAATTGCAGTGCACAGCTTTCCCCTCTCCTACTCCAGTGACTAACAACAGGCTCAAGACACCTCTCCCCTCCTGAGATGGGAGGGAAACATCTCAGGAAAAATCTCATGTTCATTAATTGGAGGACAGGAAGGTTTCAGCCAAACCAAAATGAAACTAAGTCAAGTTTTCCAACAGCCAAAATCAAGTTTGTGCGTTCCATCAGTAAAGAAGAGCCATGGTGCTGGAGAATAACAGACTGGGTTTTCCAGAGCCCTCTCCACAGGGAAGGGACCTGGGTCACAGGGAAGGCTGAAGAAAGCTGGCTTTCTGGCAA